AAATACCAAGTTGCCAAAAATTCATAGGCTGTAACTGATTTCTCCCCTTTAAGTCTCTAAAAAAATTTGCATCTCTCTTTGGACATTCTTAATGGAATGCATCTATCATTGCTACATGTCTGCAAACCCTGAGCATGATGGATATCAGTTCCTGGACTCTGCTGTTCTACAGCTAATGTATACATAAAGATCTAACTCTTGTATTAGAGGAATGGTGGTTTTATTTCTGACTATATACCTACAGTCACAAGCATTGCCTGCTTTGCAGAGCAATAAATTTAATACATTAGCTAGTGAATTATTTTTTAATGATTTATTTGTAGATGATTTCAATTTAAAATGAGATTTTCAGGTAACAAGGTAGGCAAACATGTTTAACAATGCCATGATATAAATTGCTGTAGCTGACAGATCCCTATAAAAATTATAACAGGCAGATGCGCATTGCAAAAAATTATTCATGTGACAGCAATCAGAAAGACAAATTACTTAGAGACGATGTACATGCTCCTCTATAATTGCTTATAAATTATTATAGTTCATGTTAAAAAGCATCTAGACTCCCTAGACAACTAGATTTATTTAAAATAAGAGTAATGGGAAATTGCCAGGAAATGTTGAGGAAGAAGATGCAGTACATGATTTGGGTGATTGCTAACATAAAAGTACAGTAACTTATTGTCAGCCAACTCAATCTATATCTTCCTTAATAGTTTTGTAGCCTTCATTTTCACTCTCTGCTCAGGTAGCAGTAGCCTGGGTAGGTAGCTGGGATGGGCCCAGTGGGGCTGCACTGCGGTTCAGTGCTGCTGTGTTTCCCAGCTCGTGGAGGACACATTGAGATGCTGTTCTGCACCCTTGCAGGAGAGAGCACTCCTGAGCACTTCCATGCTCTATGCAATAGGGTTGGATTTAGTCAGCTGGGGTAGAAGTTGTGCTAAGGGGATGGGGAAGATTGACAGATAGGTGGGCAAACCACTTTTCCTTAAGAACCTGGAAAAAAAAAAAAAGTTTTTTTGGAGGTGTGTAAAGTACATCCTCAATAGACAGGATTTAATTTGAATGAGCTTTCAGTCAGGCACTTACCAGGTGATTATAGGGTAGCAGAGAAATAGTGTATATACATTTATTGTATAAGTGCCTCTCTAATGCTAATATTTTTCACATCAATCTGATTATATTACATATTGAGAGCCAGCCCAACAAAAATGACAGCAAACTTTGTTCTGGATAATGGAGTGCTGAACTCCACCTAAGCAACTCCAGTCATTTGTGATGACAGCTTGGAGAATACTCCAAACGAATCTAACAATGCTCACGCTCCAGTGACTGACAGCACAGCAAGAGGAAAAATTCCAGTTTCCATGTGAGTGCAGGGAGCTTGACCTAGATTTTAGCCTCTACAGCTTCAGAAGAGGAAACATTCTTACCTGTGTATTTAACAAGAAAAAAAGAGTAAGGGGAAAAAGTCATCTCTTGTTTGATTAGTCTTTCTTCAATAATTAAGATTTAGCTTATTCTGTGAGACTTCTCCCCTCTGCAGATGTTATCAACACTATAATGACTGGTTGCTCTGTTCCCTGTGTGCTCTTCTCTCTGTAATTACCCCCTCCTGGCCTGCTGCAGGGAGAGCTGTCACAGGGGAGCAGCTGGGGCAGACAGGGCCATGGGCAGCAGCCTGCCTGCACCTACCACCTCCATCCCACTCCCTGTTGCAGTCAGCCTCCTGTGGGCTGCTCAAATTCTTTTATTCAGATACTATTAATAGGGAAAAAAGTCTCTAGTGTAAATTTCCTCTTCTTTCTTTTGTTCCTTGGGATACAGGTGCTGTGCTGGGCTCAGGTCGCTGTGTCTGGTGCCTCCACTGGAGAGCTGGCAATGGCCAACAGAGCACTGGCCCCACCATTGTGTTGTCCCCTGGGGGCAGTCAGAGAGGGTTTTTAGCCACTCTGGTGACCTGGTTGTAAATTACTGTTCAAATGCCTTTCACTGTGCTTCCTATACTTCTACAGCTCAAATTCTGAAATTAGAATAGTAGAGAAGTGCACACAAGAAGGGAAAAGAAATTTTCAAATGAAAGTGGAGGATGAGGCAGATTGAATGACACAGATTGAATGGAGGGTTGCTTAGTGTTCATTTGAGCTGTGCTTTGACAATTTGTTTGGTGTGGATATGGGAGAAATATCATTGAAAGCAGGGAATTTTCAGCTTCCAAATTTAGATTTCCGTACTGGGTGAGTTCCTAACTACCGAACTCGTACTAATTGTGACTCTACTCTGTGAAATAAATGAAAACCTGGCACTGCTGTCTTTGGTCCACAACCTTTCCATTTGTGTCTCATTGTTAGTTATTCTTTGGTGTGGTTTAACTTCGTTGAACCAGCACAGATTTGACAGCATTAGATGATGTGACAGGATTCGATTGACACAAGAGTGACAGAATTAATTAGATTGGCTGAATTAATTAGATCGGCTGGATTAGTTTGGATCTAAATTCCAGTTCTGGAATTCGTATTCATTTCAACTTATGGCCCTACTTAGACTTCTGTGACTTTACTAAATCACAAGAGAGAGGGTACCTTTGAGAACACCTATGTGTCCTGGAGGACAAGGGATGAGCCATCTGGAGAGCTCAGCATTGCGTTGCACATCCCTTGCTGAGAGAAGGCAGCTGTGAGCTCTGCACTGTTCTTCAGTTGTAAATCACATCAGTCTGAAGAGCAGGACTTAAAAAAAGCACAGAGGTTTTCAGAGGAAGCTCTGTGTGGAGTACAATGATACCTGTTCAATGTAAAAGTCCTATCACCTATATAAAATAATTCATGGTGTCAGAACCAGGGATTTAATGTAAAAGGACTGGGAGAAGCAGGCTCATTCTCCTGCTCTGCTGCAGGTTGCCCATGCCTGTGCAGCAGCAGCACAGAGAGAGGTCAGTGCAATGTTTCTTGGGGTCCTGGCAAGGGCATGTTCAAGTTACAATGTGCAGCTTTGGTTGTGGTGAAGGATGTTATAAGCCTGGAGGAGATGCACTGAGAACAAATGCTTCAGTACAGGATTTTCAAATAGTGGTTATGCAAACTTGTCCTATTGCGTGTGGCAGTGCTAGAGGAAGGACACAGCAGAAGCAGCGAGGAAAAGGAACATCAGTAAATTGCTGCTGGCCTTTCAGTTCATGTCTTTAAAACAATGCCATTAAAACCAATGAATTTTAATTTAAATCAGTAGGATATTGTCAGCAAAATGAGAATGAAAATCAAAATTGAAGTTAACTGGAACAGTGTGTACATAAATTCAGGTGAAGGGGTTGGTTTGGGGGGCTTTTTTCATGAAGAAAGAAGTCAGCTGGCACTAAAAGCTGCTGCTTTTGCACCTGCCTGTGGGGTGAGGGGCAGGAACAGGAAACACCCTGGGGCTAAAGGTGCTCCATGATATCCTTTCACCTGTCAAAACTGTCATGAGTAATGTTTTGAGTCATGGGCTTTCCTTCCCTCCTGAGCTTATGTTAGTTTTTCTTTTTACAAGTTTGTTTTGCAGCAAGATGTTACATGGAAGTTTATATACCAGAAGAGTATTAAAGTGGTCGGTGTCAACAAGTTTAACACATGGCTCATGTGATCACAGTACACTTAAAGCTGATTTACTGTGATGGGAAAATTAAAACCTTCCGTTTGTCACAGTTACTTTTGAATGATTAAAGAGAAACATGAAAACTTGGTAGACATAATTTAGAGGCTGTAAAAGTCACTAAAAGTAGGATCAGACCTGATATTCCATGTACATAAATTTCTGCTGACTACCTTTGTTTAGGAAGTAAGATAAAAAAATCACTTGATGACAGAATGCAGTTGACAATGTGTATGAAATTAAGAGTGTATGAGGATATCCAACAATTATAGTTTTAGAATTGATACTGTAAATGCAGAAGAGGCAACTTGAGAGTTACCTGGTTGAATTTGAGGTGCTGCAGTAAGGGTAAAGATGTTCCATTTATTTGTAGCTTAATATGATCAATAAAATCTAAACCCTACATATTTAATGAAGTCTATTTACTTTAGGTATTGTGTTTGCCTTTTGATGCTCTGCCTTTGAAATATTTTTCTTTGGTTTTATTCTTGGCTGATTTTCACACTGATAGTTTTTCTAGCAATGAAAAAGATTGAATTAAAAGGTCTCTGATATGTGATACGTTGATATGTGTACATGTGCTAGGCCTGTATTGTAACTAAGATAGTAGCAATGGGAGAAAAAACTGTAGGGAGAAGTGATCTTTTATCACTTAAACTGTCTGGTGTATGTTAATTTTAAAGTGAAGTATTAAGAAAACTGTTTCAAAAGTTTTTGCTGAACAGAACACCAAAAGTGGTCCTTTTTTATTTTAATAACTCCTGTATTAAGTTTGATTGCATAGGCAGCATGTTGTAATTGTATCCTGTTGTGTATAATACAGACCTCTACAAGTTTGAGTAGGCTGTAGGGGAAAAAACCCAACTATGTGGAACTGCCTTGAAAAGAAAATGATAAATGTCACACCTGTTATTTGGGGATTTTTTTGCATAACATAACTAACAGAGGTGGATGGAAAAGTTTTAAGGGATAAGAATGGCGTCAGATGCCAGTGTACATTTTCTTTCCACAAGGAATTGGAGAACTCAAAACTGGTTTACAGAGGCAAGTAGTTAAGGTGCAAAACATTTGGTTTATTTAAAAAAGAATTAGTGTTTTGGGGATGAAAGTAATGATATTCTGAAGAAGTGGAATTGAGCAAGCTCAGTGTGCTCTATTTACTGTCTGCACATTCACAGTTACATGTAATTAAAAAAGGTGTATAAAAACCCTTAGTTGCCAATAACTGCTTCAGGTTTTTCATATTACCCTGAAACAATTCAGCACATGCCAAAAGCCATTTTTTAATGTACTGTATTGCATTTCCCAAGCTGCCTTTCACTATATTGGAAAATGTATCTATGTCTAATATTTCTTTATTATTGTTTTGCTTTCAGTTGATGGTTGCATTGACTGGTCAGTGGATCTCAAGACATACATGGCTTTGGCAGGTGAACCAGTCCGAGTGAAATGTGCCCTTTTCTACAGCTATATCAGAACTAATTATAGCATGGCCCAAAGCACAGGTCTTAGGCTTATGTGGTACAAAAACAAAGGAGATTTAGAAGAACCCATTATATTTTCCGAAGTTAGGATGAGCAAGGATGAAGATTCCATATGGTTTCACTCGGTTGAGCTGCAAGACAGTGGTTTCTACACATGTGTTCTGAGGTGAGTATTGTGTTAAAGTCTAAATAAGAATGTGGAGATTATTGGTTAATAATGTATGGAGTATTAGATATTGGTTAAAAATTAATTTTAGCCATTAGAATTTAGATATTCATCCAGTTAATACATATATATTTTTTATTCTCATAATTACATATGTCTCATAATGCTTTGTCTCAAAATTAGTTTCCCTAGTAACTATAGTTACCTAGTCCAGTAGCTATAATTAATGTGCTTTCATTTAATTACTTCTTTTTCTTAAGTACAAAATTTGCAAATTCTCAATTTTCTGTAAACCTTCAGAACCTGATACTTCTTAAATCGTGAAGTATTTTGTTTAAGTACTGTTCTGTTTCAAATCCTCTGAGTTATTACACAGTTACAGTTTGAATTATTCTGATGGGATCAGGCCATGGGGAGTTACAGTTCTGTCTGATTTTAAATAAATGTTTATTTTAATATACAATTATGATTTATCATAAATTTAAGCAGACCTCATTTGGTAAGACACCAAAATGGATTTCTCAGAAGTGTCTTGGAACTGTTGGATGAGCCTTGAATTAAATATGTGCTAGAGCTCGTGATTTCCATAGTGTAGATGTTGATGTCATCGCTATGCCTAAAATGAGATTAAAAAAAAAAAAAGAGGACTTTTAAAGAATGAATTAATAAATATTCCTTAAATGATCCGGTTTTGAATGAAAAGGAGTTTACAGTTACTTTGTATGGTTTTAAACTATTCAGCTTCAGATAATAAGTTTGCTTCATCCTTGTCTGCTGTTCTATACGGAAATTAGACGTTTCATGAATTAAATAACAAGTATTGCAGCAAATTGCAGCACTGTTCAGAACCCAGAATTTGCTTTCTGTCCATCTCTGCTGAGTCTTGCTGCCTCAGCTGCCTCAGACCATTGTGATCCTGAGGAATGCTGCTAAAATCAAAGAGTGTGCCCTGGATTGTGGTGGTTTGTACTGCCCTGGATTGTGGTGGTTTGTACTGGGCACCAATGTCCAGTTTAAATATTGGATATATCTGCCTAATGCAGCAGTTGGATTGTGTTGCAGCCTTTGGAGTTTTATCAGCTCCTCTGTCAGAGCTAGGGTGTGATGTGAAGGCCCTGATTTCGAAATGTAACGGGAAGATGGTGATTTATATGATTCAAGTGAGCTGTGCTTTTTTCATAAGAAGTCATTGTTGTGATAATCAAGTTACTAGTTTAATACTCTGAAACATTCTAATGCAAATCCTTTGTGAAAAATAAATAATTGATCTTGGATCAAATTCTGGGGCATACTTTTTTCTGGGAAATTTCAAAACTCTGCTCATTTACATGACAAAGTAGTTTTGGTAACAAATGGGCAAGTTCTTGAATAATTCATGGATTCTTCTAATTTTCAGCTAAAAACTATATGACATGCTTATTGGAAGGCATTACACAGCAACAAGATCTTCCTTGTCAGTTATGCAGTTTCCTTTCTTTGACTAGAACTTTCTTACATAATTACAGATATTTTTGCCTTTTTCAGATTTTGTCAGAGTGCAGAATAATAAGTGTAGTAGTTACAGATAAAAGACTATATTTCTTCCTTTACTGAATTAATTTTTTCTTCCAAAAGCATGGCAATGTATCCTTGCTGTTATTATTTATGAAACCATAGGAGGCTTAAAATAGCGGAGGATGTAGCAATAGTAATTGATTTTAATTTCATTAAAATTGAGCTAGATGTAATGTTCTGAAATGTGATCACATTTCTGTGGGAGACTATCCACACCATTAACTGTGTAATTTCAGCTTTATTAATCCATTTTTTTTTTGAGGGGGATAGGCAGATGTTTGCGTTTTAGTCATTAACCAGATTCACCTGCTTTATGAGAGTTAAAAGGTCACAAATGAGAGCAGTAATTTTAGAATATGATTTTATTTTCCAGAAACATTAACAATGTCTGTGTACAAATGCTATCTTTTGTAGACTGAATTAATTAGCAGACACTGTAGATAGAACTTGATGCAGTGGAAATGAAGAGGTGATTGTCTCCATCAGTGTGCAACACTGGGTTTAGGATTGCATGCATAGCTGAGCTTTTTGGTTTAGTAGCTGAAAGAAAAAAAAAACTGGGGAGGAAAATGCTTTTGATTCAAGATAAATTTAAAACTTTTTCTCAACAGAGAATTTTTCATTCAGATTCTTTTAGAGAAAATCAGAAGCAATTCAATTCTAAATTGGTATCTTTCTAGCCACTCACCAGGGACTTGTGAAGCTCTGGTACATCTCCCTGTGCTGTCCAAAGCATGAAATCCCACATTTGCATGTCCCAGTGACCAGTTCCACCACTTTAAGTCACCACTTCCAACCTTGGAAGTGTTCTGTTATTTGTGCTTGTCTTTGCAAAAGGGTGCAAGGGGGTGAAATGCTTAAATGTGGTGCTGGGGCCAAATGGGATGAGGGGTCTTGGTCCCAGAAGTTCATGGGTTGAAATGATGGACTCAGTCTTGATCTGGGAAGGCAACAGTGAGAGTTTTCATTTTCTCTCCACCCAGTTTGTGACTTTTTTTCCAAGTCAACACAAGATGACACATAAGAAAACTGTATGGGGAAAATGTCAACTTTTCACAGAATTTCTTATTTGTTGAAATATTTCTTCTTGATTCTAAAAAAAAAAAAAAAAAAAAAAAAAAGCAAACCTATTTTTCAAGCTGCATTTTCTGGTTTCTCACATGTGCTCATAGGATCAAGGCATGACTATCAGTGAAGCAGTGTGAAGGAATTTTTCAGAACCTGCCTGAAAAGGGTGGGTATGAGCAGATGAAGGATAGGCTGGTATGACAGTGATTTGAAGATGGGTAAAAATTAAATGTGTCAGTGAATTCTTTCTTGTACAGAACTATCATTTCAATAATCATAATGACTGTTTTGTAAGAAACCTGTAATGCTGCATAAAATTAAGGAGTATTAGATCAGCCTTTATAAATGAGGTTGCTTCTCCAGACTGAAGAGATTTGATATCATAATTTAAATGTTTTCTCTCCTCTATTTAACCAATTAAACGTTATTCCATAGACAGGTGTGGGGGTGTGTGTATAATAGGAGGAACTTATTGTTGCATTAAAACCTACTTCTCCCTTCTCACAATGCATTTTGGCATCGAGCTCATATTCAGATGCAACCTGAAGTGTGATATTTTTCTCCAGTGTTAAGCATATGAAAAGGTCCTGATTCTGCAAGGACTTTTAAGAGTGCAGAGTCCAGCTGTGTTAGTTAAGCCATGTGAATTCCATGGATCCTCTTTTTTCTTGGATGCCTTTTCTGTGTCAAATCAGGGATATTGCTGCTACATCCAAAAGGCATCCTAGGTAATGGATATCTGCATATTTCATTGCAGTTCCCAGGTAAATGCTGTGACGTTTGTATCATGACTTTACTGCCCACTGTGGAAATGCTGTGTTCTGGAGGTCTCCTTCCAGTACCTATCCTGGATATGCCATTAATCTTCCAGCACCCAGAAATGCTACTTTCAGATAAAGCTGTTGGCATTTCTGTTACGGAGGCTTGATGTTCTGGGATTTTCATATCAGCACTCTGGATTGCAGCTTCTTCCCTGAAGAATTCAGAGAAGAGCTTCAAAATGATGAAGCATCAAACCAAAACATGGAAATTACACTCAACCTAAATGAATAGGGTGGTCCTAAAGTTCCAAGTATGTAGGACAGTCTTTTGCCAGATCTACTTTTGCTCTCTGAACAAATCATCTTTCTATGTTAAAAGCCCAGTTTTTAAAGACAGAAGAAGAACTGGGCCAACTTAGATCATCTTCACCTGGTGAAAGAAAAGATGAGCTGAGGAGGAAATCTCAGCAAAATTTGGCCTAAATTTGCCATCATCTAGGGACTGCTTATGGAAACCTTCTTCTAACTAGGCTCAGCTCCAAACCAAACTGTAGTCAGGATTTAAATAATAAAACCAGTAAGAGTAAAAAATGAAAGTGTATATTTGCTGTTAATTAACTGTTGGTGAAATAAACTTGATTCCCATAACATGAATCAGAAGGGTAGAAAATCTGGGCCTCAAGAGGGTGCAGGGGAGCAGGAGATGAAAATTTGTGGTCATCAAACTGGCTAATGAAGCTAAGCCTTGATTTTTGTACAGGATGCAGAATAATGAGGGAATGAAGGCCTTGAATGCCTATGGGAGAATAAGCTTGCAGATCTCTAATACCAGCATTTGATGCCAGAGAACTGCTGACAAATCAAGTCAGAAAATCTGTGTGTCGTTTTTCGCTTGCTGTATCCCTGTGTGCACAGTTCTTAATGGAGAGCAGCATTGCTATGGACATGCACAGTGGAATTGAGCCTTTGCTGAGCCATTGGTGAGCTATTGAGATACCACTTTCTGAGCAGTAATAAAATAGAGCAATTGTAGATTTTAAGCCTTCTGGCTTCTGAATGTCTGTGGAGCGCATGACCAGCAAATCAAAATCGGATTTAGACAGCCTGGAAGGGCTGGCAGTAAAATCTGCAGCTCAGCCTGTGTGCTTTAACTTCAGAGGATGTCAGGCAGGGCTTAGGGGCTTGTTGCAAGTGCCTGTCTAGACTGCAGAATGCACCCATCAGTCCAGGAACAGCTGCACACTTAGTACTGAAAGTCTGGCTTCTGAGCAGCATGAAAAGTGTTTTCGGATCCAAACAGAAATGTTGGACCAAGTCATAACGTGAACGTGTGTAAGGGTAAGGTTGCTTTTTCTGCAGCCATATCTTGTGGTTCTTACAATATGTGTTTTAATGTAGTTCTTCATTTTGTTGATGGCAATATAGTATGTTTGGCTTTGCTCAGCATTCAACTGCTTGTGACAAAGGTGATTTTGTATCTCAAACCCTGTTGGATGCAGTGTTGTAATTCCAGTTTAGCCATAGAATATTTTCTTCCATATCTGTTACTGGCAAGTGCTTTTTTCCCCTCGTAGACTTACTCTGGAAAGATTTAAAGATGATACTTTCTTGTGGGCT